TTATTAGGGATTAAACCCATGTATCATTTGTCTCCTGGTTGATGTAACTTGCTGTCCAATGTTGGGTTAGTGCACGCCATGATTTTTTCTTCACTATGACAATAAGATTATGATTTCTTACATTCCAAGTAACAAAAATCCATATTTTTTCTATAATTACAAGAATATGAACTGTGATTTCAACGAACACTCAGAGCTGATGAATGCCAAAAGAAAAAAGAGGCAGAAATAACTCAAGAAACATTATTTCAAAGGCACATCTTTTATTCAAGATAAGCCAAATAAATAAGGTAATTGAAAGCATACAAACGAATGCTTCTAATTTTATAATTTGATCTTCCAAGATCACAAAGAAGAATACAGTAGGGGAAAAGATAAACAAATTTGACTGTCTCGGCTTCTTTGAGGCACTTCCAATGGAAATGGCAAAAAATTTCAAGGAGTTGAGGTTCCAGTCATGTCTGTACCTCATGGAGATAAAGATGAGAATGAGAAAAAAAAGGTGGAGATCGCGGAGGAGATGGGGGAGGAGCTCGTCTCGTCTGGAAATTTCCTCGGCGTAGCGTCGAGCGAGGAAAGGAAGTTGCAGAGGAAGAAGAATTAGAACTGGGAGTTTTGGTTGATTCACTTGTTAATTCCTTCTTTACCTCCATGGTTACAGTCTCTTCTTCAATTCTATGGTCGTCCCGGATTCTGGTGGAATTTGAGGCCACTGGTAGAACACAATTGAAAAGAGAGCCTGAAAGAGAAAACAGCCCAAATTGATCCAAAATGTTGTAGCACAAAATCAAAGCATATGACAGGAAATTTAACCAGAACCAGCAGGATCATATCAATTTACTAGTAAATAACTACAGATTAACAATCAAGAAAAATGAACTCAAAAACTTATTTGGGTTGTGTTGATATTCATCAGAAAGTTAGATTAAGCTCATAAATGAACTTCTTCAAATCAGTAAAAATGCACATACAGATAAAAGAATCTGATCAGCCAAACAAGCCAAAAAAGGATGGGAATTAATAGGATGTGTTGTCTTACCAATTTTGGCAAGGCGATTAACCCATTTTGGGATGGAATTCCCCGTGAGTTTAATGCAAGCATCATTGCAAAAATGGTTGCAATTTTTGGTGAATAAATTGTAAGCATTTCCCTTGTAGATTTGGCCAAGTTCCACCATTAAAGTTCTCACCTCTGCTGGTTTCATATCTGTTTTGCCTACCAAAACTGTCTTCCTAAATCTAAACCCATCGCATTGTTTCGGCACTCCTTCGCAAATTCCAGTTGTTGAGCATTCGTGATATCCAAATGCGTATTCCACCCCATGAACTGCAATTCAAATCCACAGCAAAAACATCAAATCGAATTCAGCATATTCAACTGAAAGATCTGGCAGATGAAGCAGAAGAATAACTCCACCAGCATCGGACCATTAATTTCACATACTGTAAAGAAAATAAGTTGGTTCCAACCAAAATCTCGAGAGATTATAATGTCTGGCTAGTCCGCAAACTTATTCATCTGCCAAATCGGGCTAAATGCTAAAGTTTGATAGCTTATTTCGTAGTCTAATTGACCAAAAAAGTCAAAATCGAGACGAAAACGCGCATAAAAATAGGTGATAGTGAAAGAGAAAGTGTTTGGCAAGTGAGAAAATTCAAGAAAAACACGATTTCGGAAACTATGCCAAATTTCTCAGCCGATGCATCTCCCGATTCACAGAACACACAAAATTCGAAGAACTCTCTAATATTTTACACTCACGGAAACGCAAAAGCAGAGCATTAGAGCTTCAGCCAAAGCGAAGTGGAGAAAAAAACCCAGTCGAAAACGAAGATCAAGTGAAGCCATTACTGACCTTGTAGTCCGGAATGGAAAGCGCCAAGGCCGAACCGATAAGCGTAGCCATTGATGGAGGTCACATCGTACACATTCAAGTACACCGGCTCGGATCCTCCGGTGGCTTTACTGATCGCTTTCTTCGACATTTTTCTTCTCAATTCAAACGGAGCAGCAAATCGCATTGCTATCTCCTCGATAAATGGAAATTTTGAAATTCAAATGCGTGCAGAGATTATTGAAAACTCTTGTTTCTTAATTCTTAGTTCTAATTCTAACGGGCGTCGCCGGCGGCTACTGGTTGTTGAACACCGTAGATATATATTGATCCGGACCGCGGCCGATTCTTTTTAGGAATAGGAATTTCATAGGCTTTGGGTTTTGGCTGATATTACATTAATGCCACTGTATATTTGATCAAGGATTAAGATAAAAGATATCGAGATTTCAATTTTAGGGATAGGTAACGTGTTTTAAATGATTATTTATAATTTGACTATAATCGAAAATCTTAGAGATATTGAATATCTCATTCCACTTTTAGAGTAATCTTTTACCTTATTCAATTATCTTTTCGAATGTAGCTTGTATGAAATTACTAATATTGCAAATTGTCAATTAAAATTTTAAATTCATAGTTATTCAAATATTATAATACCTTTTTCTTTTTTTGGAAAACAATATTACATATTATAATACTTCGTGGCAGAGTAGTATAAAAAATTACTGTCCTTTTTTTTATTATATTATAAAGGTATGTAATGTAATATAGTTTAAATAAATTGAACACTTCTTATTTGTTACTAAATTTGGTCATATTTTATTTTACTGTTGTTAATAAACTAAATTGCTATACCACCCGATGTTGTAGGGTAAGAGATTAGTAGAGGTATGTGTAAGTTAGTCCCAACACTCGCAAATATACAAAAACATAATAAAAATAAAGAGATAATATGTCTAATGTTTTAAAATTTTACCATTTTAGATTTATGGATTTAAAACTTTTCCCAAATGTAATATATGTCTTTTTTTTTTGTTTAAAGGTAAAAAAATTAATGTTCCAAATTTGATTTGGTAAACATTAAATTATTGTGAGACACAAATCACTTATTCCCATAATCCCATAATCCCCGATTTATTCCTTAATATATTCTAGTACATCATGAAATTTATTACAAAATATTTTTTCATTTCATTCCAATTTTTGGCTCAATTCAATACATTTCAAATGCAATATTTGGCTCAATCTCACTAATATTCTCTTGATAGAAGTACATTTTAGGAGAGTAAACTTGCCGGCATGATGAAGTAAGACGATAACGGTGGTTTATCGCCTACATTTTTATTTATATGGATATAAAAACTATATTCGACTATAAACTATAGCTATTATAACATACATTTATATTTCATTATAACATACATTTATATGAAATATAAACTATGTCTGCCTATAAATTATAACACTATATTTTAGGAGAGTAAACTTACCAGCATAATGAGGTAAGACGACAATGGTAGTTTATCGCTTACATTTTCATTTACATGGAGATATAAACTATATTTGACTATAAATTATAGTCATTATAACATACACTTACGTGGAATATAAACTATATCTGGTTATAATCTATAACTTATATATGAACTATAAAGTATATACGGCTATATTTCTCCACAATTAACAAACAAAGCAAATAACCTACATAATCAAATATATACGACGTTACAATCGAATGCTTTTTAAATACCCAAAATCAAACATCCAAAATCATAAATAAAAAGCAAACCTAGAATATTTAAAACGCAAACGACAGAAGACGGGCTACCGGAAACAATGGTGAAAAGTGAGTGAATCAAAAACAGGCTACCGGAGATGGTAACTACAGAAATGGATAACACTAAGAAGATGAGGAGATGACTTGCCATAAACAATGGTGAAGAGTGAGAGAAAATAAGACTAATGAAAAAGAGGAAGAGACAACTACATATTCGGGAAGTTTTTTTTAAGAACGTGAAAAGGTGCATCAATTTAATGATTTAAAATGTAAACCGAAAATCAACTATTTTTCTATTTTGAATTTCGGTATCTTGATAATAATAATTACATGTATATAAAAAATAATATATTGGTAAAATGCAAATGAGTTATATTTTATGACAAAAATATAGATTTTGTATAATGAATCATTTTATAATAATCATCTCCCAAATATGGCCTATCAATGTACCAATCCTAAAATAAACTAAATTGCTAAGTGTGTTGAAAGAAAAAAAAAATCTAAATTTGCAAAAGCCTTGTTCGTTGAGCATTAAGTAATTAATGGATGTTCCTTGGTTATTAAACAACGCTTCTCAACGACCAAATTAGATTAATCTTTGAATCAATAATCAATGGCAACAATCATTGCTAAAATTATACATTTAGCTAACATTTATGCATTATCTCCGGTGTAGATTGGACCTACTTTACTACTATCATAATCTAGGTTTGGCTTGGATATAGGGAGTGACGCGATTGCCAACATCACAGATTTTAAAATTGCTCATATTTTCATATCACATAAAACACGTATAATAATATCAATTCGTCAAAATGAGCATATTTCAACGGTAATTGGCATATACCTCCAATTAAGAGGTTGCAAGGTTATCTTTTTTTTTTTTTAGGAAGTATTACTGGTCTCATTTTAATCAATGATTTAGTTTAGGAAATTTAATATGCAGCAATTTAGATTTCACGTTTAAAAATTTGTAACAATTTAATCCCTAAATTTAGTGGATCATTAATTACATCTATTGTACAATTAATGATTTATCATTTATATAGGTAAGAAACCTCTTACACTTTAGTTAGACTTTTCATGGTATAGTTTTGACCGAGTAACATTATTTTTGTTTATGTTTCCTATTTTTAATAAAAATGAATATAATGACTATCTCAACACATAGATTCAATAATAACTATCAATAAAATAAAAACACACTTTGTTACTATTATTATTATTTTTTTGCGTAAAAAGTTTGTTACTATTATTTAAGCAAATAAAAATGGTTTACTAATAAAAGCTACCATATTGTCAATTAATATTATTAAAAAAAAGTTGTATTTGCAATTATTTTATTTAGAAAAATAAGTCTTGGACCATGGCCCACGGCCCAGTTACCACGGGACACTTGATATTGTGACATTTGAAGGATTTGGTAAGTCGGAAGTTTGTTTTTCGTCAGGCGCCGGCGGTTGCTTAAACCCTAAACCCTGAGGAACACTCTCCTGTTTCCCGATTCAAGATAATCGCAACAATGGCGCGAGTGATTCGATCGTTGAGAAAATCCCTTCAGTTTTCTTCGTATTCTTCTTCTTCTTCTCACAAAACTCTAATTTCGCAAGTGCGACGACAAAATCTCATCGCATTCCGACCGGAAAACCCCTGCGTTTACTCCAACACACTGCGCCATTACATATCTGACATGCGTAGATCCGCCTTCGAGGGCAACATTCTCAGACTTCTTCGTAACGAAATCCGATATGAACTCGAACGGTCTCCTCCCAACCAGGTTTGCTTCTCTGTTCTTCTCTCTGCCGCAGAAAGTAATAAAAAATCTAATCAGTTGTAAACACTGCTAATTTTATGGTGTACTGGGTTATTTTTGTCCTTGAATTTTGTCTTGGTAGATCTATAATTAACTTGGAAGAGTTTTCTAGATTAATAATCGCATGTATGGATGGGTTTCGCCTTCGGTTGTTCGTTTCGTTCTTACAATTAAGCATCATTAACTACATGAGCGCCACGGAGTTAACATCCTGCGAAGGTTTCACGAACGATTCCAAAATTTACCATTGCCGATATTTAGTGGTTGTTCTTCCGAGGTTTTCCGTTATTTGGATTTGGGATCATAATCCTTCGCAGTATTTTTTCTTAGTTGGGGAATAGCAGGGCTGTAGAAGATCGAATGAATAACTGGCGCCGCCATACTTTTTCTCGAACTACTAACATCTACGTGGAAATGGAGATTATTGAAAGAAACTTGTAGTCTTGTGCTTTTAACGGTTACGTGGTTGTGAGATTTCTCTCATTTTCAGCCAGTAAAAATGCAAGTAAATAGTGGGTATTTGAGATCTGGGATCACATACTATTGTTTCGATGCTTTTTTCAGAACTCGTGGTTTCTTTGGTTCCAGCTTTTGATTTTGAGATATCTTCTCATTTTCAGGCTGTCACAAAATTTGGCGCGTTTACAGTTGATGAAAGGCTGGGCGAGCAGTGGATCAGATTGGAAAGAAAGTATGCGGAGAATGAAAATATAAAGATTGAAGTGACCATGTTTGATCGATCTATTCCAGCTCCAAAATCAGGAGGCAGTAGTGGTACTGTGGAGGATGTGCTTCTTCACATTACTGTTATCGTCAACATAACCAAAGGAGACAGCAGTGATGTTTTGGAGATCATGTGCTCGGCTTGGCCAGATAGTCTTGAAATTGACAGGTTTTTCTTACGTCGAGGTGAAAAGATGCCAGCTCAGCCCTATGCTGGCCCTGAATTCAAGTATGATTTCCAAGGCCCTCAATATTATCTCTATTTTGATTCTAAGTATGATGAACAGTAATAACAAATAATTACTCTCATATCATGTCGGTGGCAATCTTCAGCATATTGTTCTTATTTAAATATTATCCTCTTGCCTCAATTATCAAAATTTCATCTTCTTCCTGTTTAATAAGACGATGATTTTTTGCACACAGGGAATTGGATGATGACTTGCAAAACTCACTCTATGAATATCTTGAAGCAAGGGGGGTGGACGATGAGCTTGCTGTTTTCTTGCATAAATATATGAACAACAAAGACAAAACTGAGTTCATTAGATGGATGGAAACCGTAAAATCATTCATTGAAATTAATTGAAATTTTTTATTCTGAAGTTTTTCCAGATCATAATAGTTGTCTGCTGTTGGCGCTACTGGATATCTATTTCTGGTATGTAATATTGATCCTAATGTAATGTAATAGTAGACCATCCAGTATACGAGGTATTTTACACAAAAATAAAGGGGATGAAGTTGGTGCGTATATTAAAATTTGTCAGATTTTGGTTTCCTCATCATTCAAACTAGCAATGTCAGCATATAACAACACTTAAATAATGCTGTGATATCTCATTCCAATTAGGAGAAGCACTCAAATCCTCTAAATAGAATCATATCTTCAGGCAACTACCACCATTTTAGTTTTTCACCTACTCAATAAGTTTATGGCTCTACCTTTCTCTGATGATAACTTCCAAAACAAATGTCTTCATTATGCTTTTCTTAACTCTGAGGCAATGTGGAAGACTGCAAATAGCTAGGGAAAATGACGGAGCTAGGAATGGTATAACGCAATGAATGGACAACCCAACTAATGAGGTAAAAACCCATGTCGTCTTCTTAAGTCATTTTCAAGTCATTCTGACAATGTCCTGCTATTCTATGGAAGTCCTTGTAATATGGGATTTTAATGACAATGATTGTCTTGATAACACTATTTCAGTTGCTATTCCATTCTATTGTGAATTGTCCGAGAATACGATATTTTCTTACTAATGGAAGAATATTAGGTTAATATCTGCTAGATTTGAACTTACCGGTGGATTTATCAACTGAAAAGTATACTAGGCGTGAGATCGAGATAATGACTTGACAACAATTTTACATGGAAAATGATTGATGGTAGGTAGCACAGCTGGGGGATCTTGTGCAATTTAGAAACCTACTTGCTTGATTTCATTAGAGATGATCTGTTACTTCAACTGCTGGTGGGTCTTCCATTTTCATTCAAACACAACCCCTTCCATGCGCACAAGTGTAATTGTCCATGTCATGGAATAAGAATTGTGTCAATTATATTGTCCATTACTATTATCCAGATTTATGCACATATTCGGACCAATTGGAAAAGATTACCAAATCTCATTTTGCAAAATAACTGTTGTCTTGGTATATTTCCTATCATCCAGACTATGATCTTGCATTTGATTTTGATCTGGCGTAATTTCATCGAGCCACTGAAATTGTTGATGACACGTGTAGTCAATCTTACAGCTTAAAAATGGTCAACGTGTTTGATTTTTGTGTAATCGAAAGTAGTATTGAAGTTTATTCCTTCTAATGACTATAACCTCCAATATGGAAATGGTAGAAGTAGAGAGAGAGTGATGTTTACAGCATAGTCCTAAGTTTGATACTTTCAAATTCATATTATTCGCTTTAGATTTTTGGCAACTCTCAACTGAGTTTTGAAAGTAACCGTTCAACTAATGCTGCTGGTATTTCTAAAATGGATTTCTCACATGTTACAGGAAACCTTACAGGGGACAGCGGAATATTTTCTAAATCGAGGAAAGAAGAATTTTACGTGCCTGGTAAAATATGGAAAGAAGAAGCAAAACGGGGAAAGCAACTGTGGGAGAGGAAGTTTTGTTCTATCTTCTTACAGTTACAGCCTGAGAGACAAGTCTAAACAGTCTAGCTCGTGCAGTTCATCATGTTTATGCTTTGGATTAAACAACGAACCACTAGTCGGCGACAGCATCCAACCGCCATCAAACCTTGCTGCTCCCCTGCTTGACGACGGTACCGATGAATCTCCCGACAGAAAACTCTCTGGCGAGGGCCGTCCAGCTGCCAGTTTTGTGTAAAGGTGCTGCCTGTCCCAGACATCAAGTTCAGAGGGATGAAAGGAACCAAAAATGGGTGCATGGGAAGCACAAGGCTTTTGAATCATTGTATGCGCCTGAATTCCAAGTGATCTATTGAAGCCATGCAAAGAAATAGAAGACACGCTCGAGAATTTGTACTCACTTGACACGTGATCCAATTTACGGCCTATTTTAGCCAGTTTTCTCTGTCGACTGTGAGCATTTTGGTGGCCTCCAAGTGCCTGTGAGCTGAAGAACTTCCTCTGGCAATAATTGCACGATAAAACTCGAGGCTTAGCTACTTCTTTACCTTGGCTAGAAGTGCCTGGCAAACAAATAGCATCAAAAGAATCAATAAGGTTCAGTTCTTCTGGCATCAAACTCCCAACCAAATCCTCATTAGAGAGCCTTAGATCGAGGGAAACTTCTGTGCTTATGTCTTTTGAAACTTGTCGCAGCCATGGAAGTTCGTCTGTTGATAAGCTGATGCTGGTGGTTTCAGGGCATGGCTCTGATTTTGCAGGAACACTCATGGGTAGTACAAGTTTGTGAGTACATATTTTCCTTACGATGTGATCAAATTTGGGTTAATGGAGAAAAATATGAACACCAAATATATATATATAGAGGTAAGTTACAGGAATTGGGCTGCACTTATAAGAAAAGAAATTCTACCTGTTTTTATCAAGAGGTCATGAAATCTAGTCGCATGATTTAGGATTTTCTGTTTTGAAATTAACATCTCGACCCCTTTAATTATTATAACTTTAAAACAACACTGTAGAATTTCGCTGTTTTATTTTTAATTTTAATTTTAATTTTGTCAATACTACACCAACTATTTCTAAAAAATGATATGTGGACCTTTGCCAATGTTTATAATTTCATAGAAAAGTTATTTAGTAGTTGTTGGTTTAATTAATTAAATTTCTGCATGATTAAACAACAAATTTAAGTTTCATTCGATATAAAAAATATTCATATCTTATATTTAGTTTTGTTCAATTAATAAAACCATAGTATTAAGTCATGGTACCCTGTTGACTCAATATTTCTATTAAATATTACACGTTATGATATAAATTTTTTACGAAAATAAGTGCCAAATATAGCAATATTAGCGACATGATTATGATTTTGCAAATGTGATAATTTTTTAATGAGTTTTTTGCTCGCCTATCTATGTAATTCCTCTATACCGTCATACATTATTTATTTAATCAAAGTATATCAATGATACTCTTTTTTTTTTTTTAAGATTAGTGTACTCTTTTTTTTTTTTTTTTTAAGATTAGTGCTACGAATCTATGAACAATAAACTATATCATTGATTGAATCTATTAGTAATAGATTGATAAACATTTCAAAATTATTTTAGTATTTTTTGTGAGAGGGCAAAGATTGATTTTTTTGTTTATCTTTAGAATGTTGTTGTTATATTTACAATTAATTAGATTTATTTTGACATAATTGCCCTTTTAAAAAATTTGTAATTAAAATATAATATTTAAAAGTGAAAGTAATCATTCTTATTTGTTAGGTATGATTAAAAAAAATGGGGCAACTATAGTGTGACCTGAAAAATGGCCAAAAGTATCTAATATCACAACATGAACAGTTATGGTAGAATTTAATATAGACAAATATACACTCCCACCAAAATAGTTAAATTATCCTACATTACCCCTTAAATTTTGTGAGCAAAAATATCCTTGAAACAACTTTTTGCTATAGTTTGATTTTTGGAAATAAAATATTGAATCAAAATTTTAAAGTTCAAAATTTCAAAAATAAAATCTAGATTTAGAAATTTCAAAAATAAAACAGGTTAAATGAATACTTTGAAAAATAAAAATAAAATTAAAATGCAAAAAAATATGAAAAATATATGGGCTAATAAAAGTGGAAAATGGGTAGAAAAAATAAGATTGAAAAATCTACTATTTTTACTTCTTACCAAAAAACATAGTCATAAAAAAAGAACCTACAAAAAAAGTTATAAATAAAGGCAATGACAACTAGAAACGTGGTAAAACACCCAGACGATGATGAAGCTAAGATATTTTCTCATTCATACGTCGTATATAAAATAAGTGTATAGACATAATAAAGACAAGATGCATTAGACAGAATAAAGACAAAGTAAGTAAAGAGGCGTATAGACAGAATAAATAAAGTTACACACAATACCTAAATTTTTCTTGGTTGCAAAAGACGAGATGAGATCATATGACTGCTCATTATGACTATAATGTCTCGTGAGAAAGGAGACATGTTTTCTTTTCCAATTATCTTCCTCGTCTTCTACTACTTTTTCTCCACTCTCAATAATTATATTACCTTAAATATCAATTCTTCCAATGTTTGCTTCTAATTTTTGCAAATTAGGACTCAAATGCACAAATTAAAATGATATTCAAATGACACAATTTGCACATCCAAATAATCAAGCTAGACAGAGATTCACTTCGAACAAATATGACAACAAACTGTGGCAGAAAACTATAAAAGAAAAGAAAACAAATCTTCAGTTCTTGTATTGTTGAATTGAATTATTCTTATAATCTAAATGCTTACCAAATAAATTTCGATCATGGAATCGGAGACTCAAACTTTAAAAATCATTCTGCTCAATTTGTTGATCCCTTTATGTCTCAAGGAATTTGAGATTGTTGGATTGATAAAAAATGGGGATTGATGAGTGTAAGAATATTTAAGAGATGGTGATTGCAACGAAATTTACTACCCAATTAGTTAGGTTTCTTATAGATTTTAATTAGATTATGTTGGAGACAAATTAATAATATTTTAAAAAAGTTTGAATTGTATAGGTAGATTCGATTGTTTGATAATGTAGATTTGGTAACTTTGGAATGTAGAGATTTTGCTGTTTTATGGGATATGAGTGGTTGAGGGTAAAATGGAAAAATGATGCGAGAGCTCTGCATGAAATGTGTGGAGGGATAAATATGAAATTCTACCCCTCCCATAAAATTCAGGAAATCAAGTATGACCATATATTCAATTTAAAATACTTTAGCCATTTTATTACGATATCTTGTACGTGGCCATTACTTAGGATTTCCCAAAACCAATTATGGGGTATGAAAATACTAAGCCCAGTACTTATGGCCCAGCTTCCTTTTATACTAACCCAGCCCAATACTACGGCCCAGCCCATTCATGCTATACAGAAGACTTTCATAAACCCCTAATCTTCTTCACAAACTCCCTCCTTCTCAGAGTCCTCTGCCGCCGCCGCCTCCTCTGGTAAGCATCTCTCTCTTCTCTGCTCACTGATCCCACATTCACCGGCCGTCCTTTTGCCGCCGCCATCTCTCTCAATCTCCGGTAAGCAACCGTTGTTCTCACGCACAGCCACTCTTGTCTCCTCCTTATCCACAAATCCACCGATCGTCTCCCTTGATTCCTCTCTCCCGCAGTTCGTCATGCCCGATGCTGTCTCTTGATCCTCTATGTGGATTATCGAAGCCAAAAGATCGATTTTTTTTTCTAATTTTTGTTTTTCTTTTTGCAGTTTTTTGCGTCAGGAAGGAAAAAAGAACTAATCAAGAAGAAAAATGTCAGGGTGAGCGAAAACTTTTTTGTTCCAGCTTCTAACTTCCGTGTTAATTGCCATTTTTCTGTGTGAATTATTGAAGTGGTGGTAATTTTTTTTTTGTTTTCTGAGTTCTTGAGCATTTGTCTCTTCTTTTGTTTTTGGCTGCTTGCTTTCCATATCTTAGATATAGCTTATGCCTTACTTTTTTAAAGTAGAGTCTGCAGCTTGTAATCAGCTATTAAAGTTCTGGCTGTTCTAATGAATAAGAAAGAGGTTCGTTAGTGGAAACTCGATTGTTGAAGCAATTGATCTTTGTTCCTTGAGATGTTTGTTATATGTTTTGTGGTTAGGTCATAAGAACTATAGAGCTTTGAAATTCAATAGTGATTTGTATGCTGATTTTTGTTAATAATTCGTAGGGATTAATGATCCCTTGGTTACTTGTCTAGTTTTGAACTACTCTTGAGGCTTCTTCTGTTAGTGGCTCAACATTTGCTGCAATGGCTATGCAAATTGCATTGCAGGATGCCATGGAGGAATATTATAACCCTCGTTTTGTTTTCTTTTGCAGTGATGAAGGTGCAGTTGTGGTTGAGGCTCCGGCTCCAGCTCTAGGTGAGCCAATGGACATTGAGACTGCTTTGCAACTTGTCCTTAGAAAATCATTAGCTCACGGTGGGCTTGTTCGAGGCCTACACGAGAGTGCTAAAGCTATTGAGAAGCATGCTGCTCAGCTTTGTGTATTGGGAGAAGACTGCAACCAGCCTGATTATGTGAAACTAGTCAAAGCTCTTTGTGCAGAGCACAATGTTAGCTTAATGACAGTTCCAAGTGCAAAGACCCTCGGCGAGTGGGCTGGTGTAAGTCTTTGATCTTATTTAGACATAATATATCTTAACATTCTACCTTGATATAATTATTTGACATACTTTACTTTTTGCTTGTTCTTTCTTGTTCTCTGCAACCATTATGTCATGTACTGCACTCATTTGATTGAACCTACACTTGTCATTATTTAGATGCTGTAAATGTTCTAGATTATATAAAGATATATACAATTTCTTTATGCAAAATCTAGGGAAATCATTCTGATTTTCACCTAAAATGTCCTGCTAACACCACCATGAAAACTGGGTGGGTGTGGTTGTCTTTGGGTATAGGAAGCAAAGCTCCGACTCCCATTTATATAAAAAAACACCACCATGAGAACTTACATGATAACAAGTTCTAATATTTGCAGTCTACACCATCTGTTTAAGTATGATATCAAGGAGCAATCAATATACATCTACCAATATTACAACCAAAAGCTCTTGTGAATTTTCTGGATAAGTCAGTTTCTTCATATTTGGTCTAATGCAGCTATGCAAGATTGATTCTGAAGGAAAGGCAAGGAAGGTTGTTGGCTGCTCTTGTGTTGTAGTCAAGGTTCTGTCTTCTGTCCATCACTTCCACATAAAATGTTGTATTCCTCATCTCTTAAAAGATATTGTTTAACTTGAAAGTTAAATCTGTTATCTCCAGGACTTCGGCGAGGATCACGAGGCACTTCACATTGTCCAGAAGCATGTGAGTTCAAATTGATTCTGTCTTCTGAGACCACAGTGGTTGGGTCTTACTTAGAAAGTTTTTGATCGTTAGTTTGTTTAGAGATTGGTGCTCTGATGTTGCTGCTTAGCACCTTTATCCTATAACATGTTTTCTGTGTTAAATTGATTGGAAAAGACTGGTTTTTGTCTTCTGAGGTCCATTGATTTGGAGCTCATTATCATTCCGCCAAACAGAACAATTTATTCATCAAGAGTCTCCTTGCCAAGGGAAAAGTGGAATTGATATCTTTATCATTTCTTTATGCTGAGTTCTTGTTTAGGTTATCTATTTTTTGTTCTTTTTGCTAGTATTGTTTATGTGTGGGTAGCTTCTAATGAGTCACAGAATGGCAATTATGTCCTTATTGGAAGCTTACTGAATGAAAAAGGTCCATTATTGCTGTTGAAGGAGGATGGGGTTTTGAGAATTTTAGCCCAAACGAAATCCTTTGAAAATTGATAGAATTTCTTATTAGTTCGTTGTTCCAAGATCAACTGAGATTTCGTATGGATTTAATTTGAGATCAATTGTGGTTTTGTTTATATTTAGGTTTAAATACTATATTGGTTAGTGTACTTTCAACTTTGAATGATTTCAGTCCTATTTTCAAAAGGTCTGTTTTTTTGTTTTAAATGATGATTATTTTTATGATTTGGAAATTTTTAATATATTATATACCTAATGGAAATCTTTTACTATATTGCATAGTATCATTTTGAAATTTTTTTGAAAAAGCGAGATAAAAAATCAAATGAACTCACTGTGTTACAAATACGAGATAAAATAAACATTTTAAGAGCATAGGTATAAAGTATTAAAATAGTATCTAAACTTTATATTTAATTTGACAGGGTTTATATACTAAAACTGTGTGTATATATTTTTTGTTTTCCCTTTGTTTGATGAAAGAATTTGCATCTGCATTTGTTTGTAACTTTTTTTTTTTGACATAATTGTAACTTCTCTTTTTAATACAACGAACTTGGACTATGTGATCCGAGAAAATTATCTCTAGTTTTTAATTGAGCAATTTACTCATGGATTAAACATTTAATCCGTAATATTTATAGCGATTTGGTCTTTATATTTTAATGTATAATTATTTAGTCTCTTTCTTAAGGGAAAAAATAATAAATGAGTTAGTTTATATAGTTTAAAATTTGGAACAATTAAATTTATATTTATCAATTTTTAATTTATAACAATTTAGTTACATTTAGTTTAAAAGTACATTAGTATTGAATTACTGATCTATGTAGATTAGATTTAAAATTTTAAATATTTATACTTTATAAAAGGGATTAAGTTATAAATTATATATAACACGATAGGGACTAATTATGAATTTATACAACAAAATTTAAAGGATTAAATGGTTACGAATTTTGAACTAAAAACAAAATTTTTGTATATTAAATTTTAGGAATAAAATTTTACTATGCGAGGTCAAAGAGATAGTTTCAAACTAATTGTCAAGTCTCTAATTGTCAAGTCTCTAATGTATAATTCGAATGTAATTATAGTTTTGTTCAGATGAAAAAAAAAGGTGGTAGTTCATGAGTAAAAATAAAAAAAGAAAACAAAAAAACCAATCTTCAGAGTTCATGAAAACAATTCACACGACAAGAATGAACTCCTGTACTTGCAACAGCCGTACACTAATTCAAAATATTTGGTGATAAACAAATGGTGCGATTCATATGAAATTATATGCATGGAACCAAAAATATAAACCGAACCCATTTTAGTTAATATGTGGGAAACATAAACATGGATTCAGAACAAATTTTGATGCTCAAAAAGACAAGAAAAAGGAGCATTTTGATCGATAGAACGATTATGAAAATTAGTTTCTCAAGAATCAAGGTTGTCGTCAGTGGATGTTCTAAATTCTAATGATATTTTATTCAGTATGATTCGAATTTGGTCACACTCCAGTTCAATTCAACAATGGCTTGAAAATCAGCGCCCAAAATGAAGCCAAAAAGGCGCCAAGGGGGGAGAGAAAACGAGGG